TGAAACTGTCCAACAGGCGTGGAACAAGCCAGTTTTAGCCGCAGATGCAATCAGAAGTCTCCACACCAAATTAGCTAGAACTTCCAAAGCCCTCAGGGAATGGAACAGGAAGAGTGTCAGAGGATTAAAATTGAGAATAGACATTGCATGTGAGCTAATCTTCAGACTTGACCTAGCCCATGAAGAACGAAGCTTGTCACAGGAGGAAATTTGCTTCCGACGGTTCCTAAAGCAAAAATTGCTACGTCTAACAGCTTTGGACAGAGTGCGAATTAGACAGAGATCCAAGCAAACTTGGATCAGAGCGGGGGACGCAAACACACAATTCTTTCAAATAAAGGCAAGTGCAAGGAAAAGAAAGAATTTCATTCAGCACCTCCAACCAGAAAATGGTCTGGCGCATACTCAGGAAGACAAAGATCAAGAAATCCTCAGCTTTTTATGTTCGTATCTTGGGGAACAAAGGAAGCGTTCAGCGGCCATTAACTTTAGTTTGCTCCCCGAACAGGAACTTGACCTCTCCGAACTCGACGAGCCTTTCACAGAAGAGGAAATAAAAAGAGCAATTTTTCAAGCAAGATCTGATAATGCCCCAGGTCCAGATGGTTTCATAGGTGCTTTCTTCAAAAAATGTTGGGACATTATCAATGCTGACATCGTTGAGGTAATCAATCAGGTCGCAAATTCACACACTCACAAACTTTGGCTCCTAAATTCAGCTTACATTGCCCTTCTACCAAAGAAAGAAAACGCTTTGAGGGTCAGCGATTATCGGCCGATAAGCCTCATTCATGCATTCCGAAAGCTCTTTTCCAAACTCTTGGCAAACAGGTTAGCTCCGAAATTACAGCATCTAGTCTCCAAAAACCAAAGTGTCTTCAATAAAAGTAGGAACATCCAGGACAACTTCCTCTTCATCAACAACAAAGTAAAAGAACTTCACTCAACCAAGACCCCAGCGTTCTCATGAAGCTAGACATCACAAAAGCATTTGACTCGATCAGCTGGCCGTACCTCATGGACTGTCTAAGAGCACTGGGTTTTGGCCAAAATTGGCTATCCTGGATTTCCTCCATCCTAGTGAGCTCCTCTTCCAAGATCATTCTAAATGGCAGGGCAGGTAACAGCTTCCTCCACGGACGGGGCCTACACCAAGGAGATCCCCTCTCCCCAATGTTGTTCATTCTAGCGATTGATCCTCTTCAAAAACTCCTCGTTGCAGCACAGGAAGAAGGCCTCCTGAAACCACTTCATAATAGAACGGCTCGCTTCAACGTGGCCTTATATGCAGACGACATTGTAGTATTCACTAGACCGGATAAACAGGAATTGCAGACGGTACAGAACATTCTCCAGTTCTTCGGTCAAGCCACAAGGATGATCACGAACTTAGGTAAAAGTGAGATCTATGCCATCAGGTGTGAAAACTTGGATCTACAGGACGTCCTATCCCTCTTCCCAGCGCAGCAAAAAGCTTTCCCCTGCTCCTACCTGGACCTTCCGCTACACATCAGGAAACTAAGAAAATTGGATGTCCAGCCTCTAATTGACAAGTTCTCAGCCAGACTCCCGAAATGGAAGGGGAAACTCCTGAACAAGTCTGGCCGTGCTGTCCTCATTAAATCTACACTTTCCGCGCTGCCAACCAACCATCTTACAGTCTTCCCTCTCAAAAAATGGGCTGAAAAAAAGATGGACAAAATCCGCCGAGGCTTCTTATGGACAGGATCTGAGCAAGCTCACGGGGGACATTGTCTAGTTAACTGGAAGAAGGTATGCAGACCAAAAGAACTAGGTTGGCTAGGTATGACAAACCTTGAAATCTTTGGTCGCTCGCTTTGCCTTCGATGGCTCTAGCAGGAATGGATGGATGAAGAAAAACCATGGAAAGGCTCAAATCTCCCATGTGACGAGACTGATAAGTAACTCTTCAGGGCCTTCACGATCATATCCTTAGGGAACGGAGGTAAAGCCATATTCTGGCTTGACAGGTGGTTACAGGGAGCTTCACCAAAGGAATTAACGCCTTCCCTCTACCAGTTGGTGACCAGAAAAAACAGAACAGTAGCACATGAGCTGCAGGAGAACAGATGGCTTAGACCTATGAGGAGGATGAACTCGACTACTCAGGTAAGAGAGTTCATTCTCCTATGGAGTTTAATCCAACAAGTCCACCTGGATGAAAGCTCAACATACTCCATCACCTGGAAGTGGATGCCGGGCGGGACATACTCACCAAGCTCGGCATACCGAATCCAATTCCTAGGAAGCATACAGGACAACAGAGCGAATTTCTTCTGGAAGGCAAAGACAGGAAACAAATGTAGGTTCTTCGCTTGGCTCACGGTACATAAGAAAATCCTGACCTCCGACAAACTTCAGCTATGGGGATGGGATAACAGTCCGATCTGCTCCCTATGCGGCATTGAGCTCGAGACGGCTAGGCACCTTATCATGGAATGTGCTTTTGCAAAGCAGGTTTGGAGCTCAATTTGGTCCAAGTTAGGACAACAAATGCTGGCCACAAGCCTATTCAATGGAGATATCTTGGCATGGTGAGATTCTTGCAGGAAAAAAAATTGTCAAAGAGCAAAGGCGAAACCTAGATGGCCTCATCATCTACACGGCATGGGGAATATGGTTGCAAAGAAACAACAGGATCTTTAATGGCACCTACAACACGGTCTCACAAGTGGTGGAGTCAATTATACAAATGTGCAAGACCTTCAATGAAGCTCATGTCACTTAGAAGATATTGCGTCGTATTTTGATGCTTGTTGCTTTACATTTCCTTCAAATCGCATGTCTTCCCCGCCTAGTGTTTTGACGGGATCTAGATCCAAAAACTTGTAAGGGGTTGTTTGTATTCTCGCATTCTCTTCTTTAATGAAATTGGCATAGCTCGTGCCCTTTCCCCTCAAAAAAAACACCGGTGATATGGTTGTAAAGTTGTGGGTGCATGACTTTACACACTAAACTTTAAGTCCTAAGAAAAATGTTAGGCTCACTTGTTTTTGTCTCTTTGTGCGTGTATGAGTGTAGAGTTGCGCATGAAAAGTTTTTAGTGAGATCAGATATTCAATAAACTAAAGGTGGGCTCTTCCAGCTTTATGACATGAAAAACTTGGAGTTTTAAGGTTTGATTATGTTTTCTCTTTAAAATAGGGTATTTTCTTCTTAATATAAAACTTCGACAATGTCCTAACTTTTCAAAAAAAAGAGAAATATTTAAAGTTTAAACTAGATTCAAGCGATAGCTGTAAAAGAATGGCATATTATCTTTAATAAATCTAATAGTTCACACGCATTAATAAATCTTATAGTTCACATCGGCTTAGAGTCAGTATCGGCTTCAAAGTCCTGGGATTAGCCGATGTGAGTTGTCAAGTCGCCAGCAGTTGTGTTCTTGGTGCAGTCGGATCAATTAAAGGAAGCTTATCTAGAAGAGTTCGAGTTCAAGAATGATGCAATATGACAGTTTATCTATTAATTAGGAATAGTTTGTTAGTTTTCTTTTATCTTTAGGAAAGTGTGTTTAGTGTCCGATAAGGACTTTATGTTTTCCTTTTATCTTTAGGAAAGTTTCTTTCTTGTCTTACAAGGACTAGTATCTACCCATGGGTATAAATATGTACACCTGGGGTCATTGTAATCTCTCTCGATCAATACAATTACTCTCGGCGCATCGCCACCCTCTTTATCGAGGTTTTACTTATCATCCCGCGGAACTTGGCACCTGACGCGGGGCTGCAACAGTTCAGTTCGATCTCCGGCGAAGGGATAAGTCCTACGTTCCGCCGGCCCTGGTGAATCTATCGGCTACGTTGGTGTTGTTCAAGGCTACATCGCTTTGATCTCTTGGATCGCTCTGGTTTGGTTGATATATTTGCCTACCTGATATCTCAATTCTATCTCTAGTTGCATTGTGTTTAGAGATGCATCGGTTTAGTTGGAACTGTCTCGGTTAAGTCCGATCTTCTGTCTTAGCCGATATATCTCTACAATCACAATGCTGTTGTAAATAGATTTGTTATATCCATCACATTAGACAGATCTATCGGCTCATCGAGTATTAGATTATCACTAGTCGTCAACACGTGCGTTGCACGGGTTACTGTTGTTGATATTATAAATGCCACTTAGATTTTGTATTAAATGTATTTTTCTAAAATTATTGTGGCTTAAATTTTATAAAAAAAAAGGAATATTGCGGCTTAGACTGCATTAGAAGAACAATAACATAGCCTATAATTCACTTTGGGCCCCTTTGATTTGGAAGAAAAACAAAGAAATTTTGGAGGGTTTCAATTCTATTGGAAATTTCCTATGAAAGCCTTTGAAACAAAGGATTGAATCATATCCTATCCTTTAGAATTTCTATGGATTGATTAATCCTATGGAGATTTTGGGAAAATTTAGCAAGATCTCTAATCTCTTTAGAAACTTTCCTTTGAATCTATCTCTTTCATCTGATTCCTATGTTTTTTTTGTGGTCCAATCAAATGGTCATTCCTGTGTTTTTTATATATGTTGCAATCATTTGTTTTAAACATGCATTTCTTATCATAATACTGTGTTTTTTCTATTTCTCTATTTTTCCATTCCTGCGATTCAAAGGGACCTTGGAATTAAGGTTCATTAATCGTATTAATCATAAACTACCAATAGATTGAATTGTCCATGATTGTTTGAATAGCATATTTATTTAACATGGAATTTTTATACGATCGACGGTCGAGTTAAATCTTTTTGAGCTAACCGATGCTAATATAATCTGTTAATATAAAAAAAATGTTTGGCATCTTAATTGGAATTTCATATGAAGATGTGAACAATTTCATATTTATTAATTTTAAAATTGGAATTATTAAATCTCAAATGGCGTTGTTATTAAATTTAAATTGAAATATTTATTTGCATATTTATTTGTCTATAAAAATATAAGTGCTAAGACATAAATAAATATCAACATTATTTGTGAAAGGAATTTATATACTAACCTCTTCATCAATCCGTATAATGTTGACGGCTAATAATTTTGTTGATGTTGGGATTTATGGCATCCCAGAGTTCCATTACACTGACCTTGACTTTCCGTGTTTCTTTTCGACGGTTGATGCATGTCACATGCCACTGCAGTTATAAAAATAGACTGTTAAGTTATATTTGTCAATGTATCCATGTATTAAATTATTGACATGGCGACAAAATCTAAACAAATTAAAAGAACATCAACAGTAAACTATACGACATATTATAGTTCATAGAGTGCATTTGGAAAACATAGATCAGTCGTCTATGTTATCTACACAAAATCATCATTAGACAACTCTTTTTTACTCTGGGGTTTTTGCCGTTGCCTGTTGGGAACAGAGCTCATCCAACAGGCAAAAATAAGCACGTTCAATATGCAAAAAATCAGCTAGTATTTATACAGTGTACGTGTAGACCGGACATATAGACATAACATTTGAAAATTAAATTGAATATTTAGTTCATACTCCCTCTGTCCAAAAAAAAAACCATGGGTTTTCGTGTCCAACGTTTGACTGTCCGTTTTATATAAATTTTTTTTATAATTAGTATTTTCATTGGTGTTAGATGATAAAATATGATTAATATTTTATGCATGACTCGTCTTTTTAATTTTTTTAATAATTTTTTCAAATAAGACGGACAGTCGAACATTGGACACGGAAATTCAGGGTTTGTCTTTTTTTTGGGACGGAGGGATTAGGTTGTCTTCAGAAAAAATATAGATCATGAATCAAAATCAGAAACAGAACCTGCTAGGTCGACAGAATATCAAATAGCACATTCTATGGTCAAAACATCAACAAACAATTCATTAATTATTTCAATAAAATCATAAATCGATTGTGCCTTAATTTGACTACAAAATTCATACCAGACTTATGGGGTTGCACTTGTTGGGATAGGGATTTGCAGGCACATCCTTGTGGTAGCGGGGCAGTATGCTTGGCGAGGATAGTCCGGCACCACTTCCCTTGCTCTGCATCTGATCTAGTGGGATTAGCGTGGCCGATGGAGGAAACCAAATCAAGCTGCAACTTGAGATCAGAGTAAGAGAGCTACCTGCAAACGAACCTTTCCCTGATTGGTGTCATCTCCGTCGGAAACTTAATCTTGATCGATGGTGAAAAAAAAAAAAAACAATTCCAGCCGGTTGATGTATGCAGCGGATCCCCCTCGATGGCAGATTCCATCTCGTTCTCGCTCGCTCCCATGTGTTCTGATGATCCCATCTGATTTGATCAATTAATTCGCTTAGAGATAAACCATCGATGGTTGTTTAATTTCTCCTGAGTGCTGCAGTTAGTAGACATTGAAAAGGGCCCACATAGTTAAAGAGGCTTTTCAGTTTGGCCCAGGACCCACGATGTGGAATCCTTTTATCAAATCGTTTTAATCTACTGTTCTAATTATACAATTAATCTAATAGACGGTCGGATCTTTCTGATTAACGTGGGAGCTCCTAAAAGTGCCCAATTAGTATATGTATAGATAGATAGATAGATAGATAGATAGATAGATAGATAGATAGATATACAATCTCATGCTGCATCGGTTAGGTTCGACCTACTAGATTGTTGTTGATAATATAAATTTTGTTAAGCCGATAGGTTCATGCTAGTGTTTTATCGGGGTGCTAGCCGATAAATTATCTGGACGTTGCATCGGCTTATAAAGATTACATATATATAGAGAGAAAATTCCTTCTATACCCCTAAAAGTTTAGCCACTCCCTTCTACGCCCCCCGAGTTTTGTCCACTCCCTTGTATGCCCCTGAAATTTGGTTTTGATCCCTTTCATACCTATTCCGTTAGTTGACCGTTAGTTGAATGTTTAATTCCTATGAAAATGACCATTTTACCCTTACACATGAAGGAAATCTGGAAATTGTAGACTAGCTATATTGTTGGAAGTGTATAATTTTGTTATATAAGACTATTATATTCATGATTTTATTGTACAAGGTATTATTCATTTCAAAGTTTATTTTTACATAATGACATAAAAACTAATATTTATTTACTTATTAAAAGAGTATATGTAGCATTTTTTTATGGTACTTAGATCAACATTTTTTTTCCTGTGTCCTATATATTAGGAATGTTTTCCAAAACTATGCTTATTATTTAAAGAAAATGCTATACATACTTTTTAATATTTATTAAAATGTCTATGTACAACAAACTTACGAATATTATAATCACACAACAAATTTCTATATTTCCAACAATATAGTCTACAAATTTCTACATATTCCTCATGTATTGAAGGGTAAAGCTGACTTTTCTATACCTATTAAACGGTCAATTGACGGCAAGGGTATGAAAGGGATCCAAATCGAAATTCAGAGGTATACAAGGGAGTGAAGAAAATTTAGGGGCATAGAAGGGATCGGCTAAAATTTTAGGGGTATGGAAGGAATTTTCTCATATATATAAGTTGGATTTAGCCGATAACAACAAAGGTTTCACTGTTTAATTTAATCTTGTGGATTTTATGACATGGGACCTCCAGCCGATGTATGCTTTAACCATCGGATCAATACTTATTCTATCATATCATATTGTTAGCCGATTGGTTTCTACTGGATTATATTATTTAATACCATCAGCCGATTGTCTTTGCATCATTATCTCCATTGGACGCATAGCCGATAGCTCAAAAACCTATCGCTATCGGCTGGAATTGGCATCGGCTGGAATTACTCTATCGGCTTGTTAGCCGATCGGCTCATTGATCTGTTGTTTGTATATCTTGTCAGTTGCAGGATCAAGCTGACTGGCACGTCCGATTCTCAACAACCTTTGAACCTACACTGGAGTTAAGCAGATCTCCTAAGCCAATGTGTGTTTTTCGCATCAACAAATAGTTAGCTATAGATATAGTTTTACTAGTATATATCTCTCTTAATACTTTATAATATTTAATTAACTCAAGTAATTATTAGAAACTCAACAACTATAATCAATCGTCCATCGGAAACGTAGAGCACACACAATCCCATAATAACATTGCAGAAGATTATGCTCGTAGTCATAGAATGATATGCAAGAAATATATCTTTTGATGAAAGCTGAACTAACTACTACACATATATTATAAAAAATTCATGTTTCAAACACGCGTTGAACAATGTAACGGGTTATAAAGAAAATGGGCCAACCGGCACACTAATTTTCTAAGTAATTCCTCCGTTTCAGATTACAAGACGTTTTGACTTTGGTTAAATTTAAACTGTTTTAAGTTTGACTAAGTTTATAGATAAATATAGTAATATTTATAATACTAAATTAGTTTCATCAAATCAATAATTAAATATATTTTCATAATAAATTTATCTTGGATTGAAAATATTGCTACTTTTTTCTACAAACATGGTTAAATTTAAAGCAGTTTAACTTTTACCAAAGTCAAAAACATCTTGCAACCTAAAACGAACGAGTATATATATATATCCAGCTTTGCTCCCTAGTAGCGTCCGGGCGTGGAGCTTCGGCAAAATGTCGCAATCCTAATTCTTCTTCTTTCTTTCTTTAATGCATAGCAGAGCTTCTGGTTCACTTAAAAAAATGGCTTTGCATGTAGACTTTGGGGGAAGTTAGCATAAGGTCAAACCTATTAGAAAATTTCCTTTAGTACATCTATCTCTCTCACCTAATTTCTATATATTTCTCTTATAATATATCCAAACAGTTATTTTTTCTGCGCTTTGCAAGTTGCAAATCTAAAAACACATATTCCTACCCCAAATTAAAGCCCGTGGTACGTTTTGCCATTTCAATGTTCACTAAAATATAATGTGTGTCGCATGAAAGATTATTTTTCCCATATACCATCCATACGATTGACACATAGCTTTTTTCATCACCCATAGTTTGACATATAATATTTTTCATCCACTAGCTCTCTACAGCTTATTATATACTTCCTCCGTTTCATATATATGGTAATGAATCTAGAAATATATGTGTGCCTAGATTTATTAACATCTATATAAATATGGGCAATGCTAGAAAGTCTTATAACCTGAAACGGAGGTAGTATATGTGAAAGTCTCTTCGCCTTATAACTCCATCTCCAGCGCCTCTTATGCCATTAGATCTCCATCTCCGACGATGTTTTCCTCATAGCTCCTGCATTCCAATTTCCATTTCAGCATCCAATTGGAAGGTATTATCTCTAATGGTTCTAGCCTTTGAACAAAACAAATCAGCTATAAACTAGATTTCATCTTGAGCATTGTGTTCCTCCTTTTTCTCAAATTTCATCTTTTTTTTCTAGAGAAAATTAAAAAAAAACAGCTTTCATATGATACAATTTTTCTAGATAAAGTCTCTGTTCTTTATTTTTCCTAGAGAAAATCATTTCTCTCCGTATTAACGAAGGACAGTGTAGTCTTCTAATCTCTTGTCTAATATCTTTAACTAGCTAAAATTGCACTTATTTAGGGACGGAGGAAAGTAATCCGTTTTAGCTGTTGAAAGAACTAATGCGCTTACTATCTTGCAGCATTCCATCGCTGGTCCTTTTTTCACCAAATCAGTGCCAAACAATAATGGAATTACAGCCGCTGGCTTAGCTAGTTGCTCCTACGGTCGGCACAGCCATGAATAGTTTGTTGAAGCAAGCAGCTTACCCCTTCAACATCCGTAGGAATGTGCAGGATCTCATCACGCATACGGATGATCTGGTCGCCAGGAGACACGACATTGCTCGACAGATCGAGGCTGCTGATCGGGACGGCGGAATGATCCCAACCCATGAAGCACGGCAATGGCTGGACAGAGTGGAGAGTGCCAGGCTCTCTGCAGACACGATCCGTGGACGCTACGAGCAGAGATGCAGAATGTTCGGCGGCTGCTCCCTCAATCTCTGGTCCAACTACAGAATCAGCAAGCGTGCAGCGGAGAGGCTCGCGATTGTGAGATCGTACGAGGTTGTTCCGAGCCCGATCACAATCGATCCCCCCGCACTCGCTGCGGTGAACATCCCGATCGAGTCTGTCCAGATTCATAGCCAGGAGAGTATACTCGAGGAGGCGCTCCGGTGCATCACCGAGGGGCCATCGGCGATAATCGGGATATGCGGTCCGGGTGGAGTCGGCAAAACACACCTCCTAAAGAGAATCAACAACAACTTTGTCGGAGACTCTACCTTTCGTCTCGTCATCTTTGTCACAGCGACAAGAGGGTGTTCGGTGCAGACGATCCAGACTCAGATCATGGAGAGGATCAACTTGAATCGAGACGGTGATTCGGTCACACGGGCCAACAGGATAGTGCGATTTCTCAAGGCGAAAAGCTTCCTCCTATTAGTGGATGACCTCTGGGGAGGAGAGCTGGAGATGGGATCAGTTGGTATCCCATATCCCCTTAAGAACGAAGGCCAACTTAAGCAGAAAGTGGTAATCACAACAAGGTCTCCAACCATATGCGAACTGATGAATGTGACGACACATGTAAAGGTGGAGGTGTTAGAGGACGACGAAGCACGCGAGCTGTTTATGGAATATAATGGTCACAAGGGTCTCTATTCTGATCCCCACATCGGAGATCTTGCCAAAGAACTCGTGAAGGAACTGAAAGGTGTTGCATCACAGTTGATACATTTCGGCAAGGAAATGCGCGGGAGAAAAGATCCGAAGCGGTGGGAAGATGCCATTTTTGTAGTGAAGACATCAGATACTACTCACCTGCAGGATGAGGACCAATTATCTCTGGTAAGTGTGCTGTGAACTCTTATCTTGGTTAAGGATTTTTATGTTTGGAGAACTATTCTCTATGTCCTTAAAATAAATCAAACTCCCACATCCCCAATACAACTTTAGTAGTGAGGAAACAAAAAAAAACTACAGTAACCTTCATTAATAAAAAGTAGGTGGGTTGATAGTTAAAAAGTATTGAAGGGATAAAACTTCATGTTTCGTGGACTGGGGATAGGTAAGAAGCTAGCAAGTGATTTATTTTGGGACAGATCGAAGTATATTTTACATTATTGAATATTCTTCCATCCTCCAAATCAATTTTGGTATCTTGAGGTACTTAGGGGCTGTTCAGATTGTAGCCTAAATAAACCTTACCAAATTTTGGCAATTTGACAATATTGCCAAGTTTTGGCAGGATTTGTTGTGTATTACCAAAGTTTGATAAAAAAAATAAATGGATGCACATCTTTGACAACTTTATTTAAAAAATGGTATGGTTTAAAATGGTATTAATCTAAATAACCACTTAGTACCTGGAGGTAAACAAAATGTGGTATCTTCCGGTACTTTCTCAAGATGATAAAATCATTCTTATTTCTTAGAGCAGCTTTACGGTCCTTGAGGAGGTACCATAAGATACCAAAAATTTAGTATAAAATTTGATACCTCATAGTATACAAGTACCCAGAGGTACCAAATTTACAATAGAAAAAGTGGTACCTCATGATATACTTATGTTTCTAGTGAGCACTCGTTAATTAGCCTCCCCCGGTACAGCCTGGTCATCCGATCCTTTGTGTTTTTATTGGCTAATTGGCTACCATGTCATCACCAAATTGGCAAAACCATTACCATGTTAGCACTATGACCAAGTTATACTGGACCCGCGGCTAGTAATTTTTAGATGGTTTGAAGAGTTAAAGGGTTGAATCACATCAAGTTTTAAATCTTAAGGAGGAAATGTCAGAAACCGACAAATAGCCAAACAATAAACTGTGACCTATCATAGCTACATGAGCATTGAAAAATGATCACCAGACCCTGTCCACACACAGGCAAGGAAAGAGACTCCTATCGAAACAAAGCGTTAAAAAGAGAAGGAACGACATAACTCTTTACTGGAGTTCAACTGTAATTTGTCTTTGATATTTTGACTTAATCTTAGCTTAGCTCCAATCCTTAACATTAACTCAATTCTGTTCATTTTGCTTTCAAGAAAGGAACAATTGTGAGGAATCTCAAGGTGGCAACCGAGAATATGCTTGCGAGGAGCAACGAAGTCCGCCAAAAGATTGAGATTGCAGAGCGAAATGGCAAGACACCAACGAATGGGGTGATCTCGTGGCTACGTAGAGTGGATAGCATCACATCTTCTGCAGAAATAATATGTGGGCAACACCAACTGAACTTAGATGTTAGCCAGAGTGCGGCTGAGAAGCTTCATGAGGTCCAAGAATGCCTTGACAATCAGCCCAGCGATATTGTTGTCGATGTTCTCCAAACCCCTACCGAATACATCCCAATCCAGTCTTTTGAACTGCGAAGCCAAAACATTGTTCTTCAGGATGCTCTCCGGTACATTGCGGATGATTCAGTGGAAATGATTGGAATACGGGGTGCAGCTGGGGTGGGCAAAACACATATTCTAAAGAAGATCAACAACTCATTCCATGAACATTCTGACTTTCAGTTTGTCATTTTTGTCACGGCCTCAAGAAACATCAGGGAACAGATTGCAAGGAGGCTGGGGATAAACCAAGACGACCGTGACGCAAAACTTGTTACCAGGATTTCGAAATTCCTTGAGAAAAGAAGTTTCCTTCTGTTGGTGGATGACCTCAGGGAGATTCTTGACCCAAAAGAAGCAGGCATCCCATTTCCCCTTAGAAACTCAAGTGAAATTAGACAGAAAGTGGTATTTACTACAAGATCAGAACATATATGCGGTCAAATGGCAGTGAGCAAAAAGATAAAAGTGACTTGTTTAGAGCAAGATGAGGCAATCTATTTATTTAGACAAAATGTTGATATGGGGATTCTTCACTCTAGCCCTCGTATTGAAGAACTCGCTAATACTCTTGCTAAAGAACTGAGTGGCCTACCATTGGCCTTGATAACTACAGCAAGAGCAATGTCCTCAAGACATCATCCAACAGGATGGGAGGATGCAATTCGTGAGATGCATGATTTGTTCCGTCATAAGGATAATCCCTTAAACATGGAAAAGGGTGTTTACCAACCGATAAAGTTCAGTTATGACAGTCTGAGAAATGATACATTGAAACAATGTTTCTTGACATGCTCAATGTGGCCAGTGGATCAGAATATTCGAAAGGATGAACTCGTTCAGTGTTGGATGGGTCTAGGTCTAGTGGATGAGCCTAATATACGATCTTCATACAACGAAGCATATAAGCTAATTTGCGACCTTGAAGCTGCATGTTTATTAGAAAGTGGTCCAAACAATGATGTTAAAATGCAAAATGTGATCCGTGATACCGCTCTTTGGATATCTCATGGCAAGTGGGTTGTTCACACTGGAAGGGTAAGCTCAGGTCCCTTCAGAAATGCAGGACATTTTCCAAACATTTTCAAAATATCGCCTCCGGAAATTCTAGTGGAACCATCGCCAGCAAACTGGGATCTATTCAATAACTTTCATTGGGACAAGGCTATGTGTGTCTCTTTGATGTGCAATAGCATGACAAAACTTCCTACCGTTCGCATTGATCAGGATCTTTCAGAACTCAAAATATTATGTCTTCAACAGAATTCATTGGATGCAAATATTGCTAGAGTTATTCAGAGATTCATTGCAGTTACATACCTTGATTTGAGCTGGAACAAACTCGAGAATATACCAGAAGAACTATGCTCCTTAACAAATTTGGAGTACCTCAATTTGTCATACAACTTTTCAATATCTGAAGTGCCCAAGTGTCTTGGATTCCTCATTAAACTCAAATTCTTGTATCTGCAAGGTACCAACATAAAGACAATACCAGACGGGGTCATATCTAGTCTGACAGAATTGCAAGTGCTAGACTTGTTGAATATGTATTTCGGAGAAGGAATAACGATGTCTCCAGTGGAGTATGTCCCAACAATATTACCTGAGTTGGGTGCCATAAATAACTTGAAAGAAGTCGATATTGTTATTGAAGGCTCATTCCAGTATGAATTACTAAGCCAATGCTGTAACCTCCCGTTAAGGCTAGTTGCTCTACGGAAAATGGAACAGTCATGTGCATTGTTCCGGCTGTCGGAAAGTATTTTTCAAGACAACTTGCTTGGAACTACTTTAAATTACCTGGAGGTTTCAGATAGCGACATGAACGTAATAGAAATTTTTAGAGGCGCTGAAGCACCGAATTATTGTTTCGAGGCTCTCAAGAAGATCGAGTTGTTTAATCTAAAAATGTTAAAACATATTAAGTGCTTCCGACTAAGTCCACATGATATGTTTCCCAGCCTCTCTGTTTTGAGGGTGTCCTTCTGCGACCGGCTAAAAAACATCTCTTGTACAATGTATTTGTCCAAACTTCAACATTTAGAGGTAAGTTACTGCAACAGTATCACGCAAGCCTTTGGGCACAACATGAACAAGTCAACGGTTCCGACATTCCCATGCCTACGGTATCTAAGCTTTGCATACCTGGATGGGTTGGAGAAGATTTGCGATTCTGATGTGACGTTCCCACAGTTAGAGACCCTGAAATTTACAGGTTGTCCAAATTTGATGAGCCTTCCATTCAAAAAGGGAACAGTACCCCTGAATCTGAGGGAGCTACAATTGGAAGATGTGAAATTATGGAAAAACTTGATATGGGAAGAAGAAGGTGTCCTAGATTTGCTGGAACCCTATCTTAAAATCAAGGTTAGTCCACCTACCACTTGTCTTAGGCACAAAACATCGTAACTAGATTAATATTTTCCCTACATGTGTGTAGACTACAAATTTTTCATACATAAAAAACATGTATTTTTTTTAAAAGATAATGTGTCTGTTCTTTTTATGTTTGTGCTAAGCCAGTCAAATATAACTTCTATAACAGAGAGCAAAATAAAGGCTATATGTATGGATAAATCCTTAGTATCATGGTTCACTATTTGGAAATGCCAAGATAATTCAGGGGAACCAAAATTTAGGAAACAATTCTCTCAATTTGAACAGTTCCCTTTAAATTATATGACATGGCATAGTCCAAAGTGAAAATTATTTCAATCGATCCTGATGTAGAATAAAAGTACGTAATAAACTCGGTGCAAAGTGAAACGAGGTACAATCTACGCAGTGCAAAGTGCAATTTACTAAAAAAAATATATAGCTACAAGCACATCTTACCCATACTCACCAGTAAACCTGACATGTGGAGAATTTCAAAATTTTTGGTCCAAAAATGTGAGCCCTGTGTACGATCACACCTTTCTACTGTATACAATCCTGTGGACTGTGGTCAATAAAATTAACAAGGTTTAAAAAGTTTCGAGAGATGCAAAAAAAAAAAAAACATGTTTCACAATTTACCTTTTTATAGTATTGCCAGCTAGACTCGCAGCAACCACAGGCATTTCCAATTTTCCTGTCACCCTGCAAAAAAAAAAAAAAAAAAAAAAAAAAAAAAAAAAGAGGGAAAAAAAAGAAATTCTGTGTATTGATCAAGAGGGTGTACAGATAAAATGCAAATTCATTCTAGCCAACGTCTGCTGCTGTTTATGGTATCTGAAACTGGTAATCTTTTTCATAAGAGTATCTATCTGTTTGCAATTGTACCTTCAAGTGTTGAGTTTGACTCCTGCTACAATCTTCTCAATTTGATGCAGGAGTTGCCCACTGAAGAGGAATTAACCAAAGCACTTCAATCTATGCTTCCGTTCTATCCATGAAGTTCTCATTAGCATGGGGGCCCAGCACCAGGCCAGCACTGTGTACGTTAGTTACTGTTGAGAACATGAGATGTTGCCTCGTTGGCGTTGGCGGAGATGGTGACTCTACATTTGTTTCTACAATACAAGTATTAAGTGTATCTAGTATACAGCCGTCGGTGTAAAATGGGATATACTTCTAGCATGGAGATTAGATTAATGACTCTACTGTCGATTTATTATCTCTACTGTATTCACTATGTTCTGATATTTTTCGCGAACGCGCAAAAGCTTTACACATCAATATATTAGAAGAAGAGTAGCATACAACTGTGACACGCTGAGGCGATCACCGGGAGGTCGAAGAATAGCATACGCTATTTTCTGATATACTGTACTTTAATCAAGTGACCACTGCCTGAACGTTTCACTTAACCCAGCAATCTCCTCTATAAGATAGTCAGGTATCACCTCAAAGCATAGAGGTAAATGAAACACTCATTTTAAAAGCCAATATCTTAAGCGCGTGTTTGATTTGTGGACGGAGAGGGATGGGTTAGGTCCATCCCTGATTTTTTGATGGGATGATCCTATTTTCTGTTTGGTTTGAGGGATGAAGTGAGTCCTATTCTTTGTTTGGTTTGAGGAATATAAAGGGATGGAACGATCCCTTTTGGATATATCCACCAGTTTTCTCACGAATAAATATATGCATAATATTTCCTTTTGATCCAGTCCAACCCAATTAAACACCTAAAACACGAGATGGCCCCAGCCCAACCCACCAAATCCGTCGAACCAAACACACGCTAAGTTATTCGTTATAGATGGTTGAGCTTCTAAAATATAGCACTGGAATTTGCAATTCAATCGGATCAACATGATGAACATTGGCTGGGTTAGGATTTTCTGTAGAGTTGACACGGCTTGAAACAACCGGCTTATATAAGAGCAAAATCAATTGTTTTCCACTTCATATTGCTGGAGCAAGTAAATTGCAAGGCTGAAATAGGAATCAAGAAGTGAAATACTGAAATTCTCAGATCCAGTAACTATACTAAGTTCGTAATAAATAAACTACTCCTAAAACACTAGTAGTGGATACGTACGTTCTCACGGCGATCGCCGGCCGGATGGGGAGAAGTCGAGGGAGTCGTCCCGGTCGCCGCCTCGCCGAGGATAGATCAGCGTCGGCACTCTGCACCGCGACGAATTGCCGGCGGCGTCGACGGCTCGGCCTCGGCGGTCGTGGCCCTCAACGCGGAGAAGGCGAGAAGCCGCCGCTGCCGAGAGGCTTCCTCTCCGCGGTCTCCAAGCTCCGCCGCTCCCCCGCGTCATCTCCTTCCCCCGCCGCCTTCGTGGAGTCCGTCGGGCCGGAGCAGAGCACAACCACCTCTGCTTCCGCCGCCCGCCTCCGCCGCAGATCCAACGGCTGAGCATTAACGGTTCGAGCTGATCTTAATTGCAGTTAAGAAGGGATCAGAACCCGTCGATTAGCCTAACAAGTTTAAGTAAAAGCTAAATAATACTCTCCGTAATGTATTACGTCGTTGACTTTTCGATCAACGACTATTCGTTTTATTCAAATTTTTTGTACAAATATAAAAATATTTATGTCATGCTTAAAGAACATTTGATGACGAATCAAGTCATAATAAAATAAAGAGTGAAGTCCATCACCGGTCCCTAAACTTGTACCGCTGTGTCATCTCGGTCCCTAAACTCGCAAATCGACCATTCAGGTCCTCAAACTTGTCAGACCGTGTCATCCCGGTCCCTAAACTTGCAGATCACTCGTTTAGGTCCTCCAACTTGTTCAGTTGTGTCACCCCGGTCCCTAAACAGGACGGTCTAAGAACTTTATATCAAAAAATAATTCATAACTTTTTCATGTTAACTCTAATGAAGACAAACTTTGTATCAAAATTGTAGCACTCGACGCAACCTACAACTTTGTAGTTGAAAAGTTTTTGAATTAAAATTGTTTAGGGTCCCAAAATATTGTTGCATGTTTATAGATTTTGAAATTTTAATTTTAAAATTACATTTTGGGAAAACAATGACTTAAAATAAAAAAAATTCAACTACAAAGTTGTAAGTTGTAGATCGCGTCGAGGGCTACAAGTTTGATATAAAGTTCGTCTTCATTAGAGTTCACATGAAAAAATTATGAATTATTTTTAAATATAAAATCTTTAGACCGTCCTATTTGACCCAGATGATATTCAAATCCAAGTTTAGGGACCGGGGTGACACAACTGAACGAGTTGGAGGACCTAAACGAGTGATCTGCAAGTTTAGAGACCGAGATGACACAGTCGAACAAGTTTGAGGGCCTGAACGGTCGATTTGCGAGTTTAGGGACCGGGATGACACAACGGTACAAGTTTAAGGACCGGTGATGGACTTTACTCTAAATTAAATAATAATTATATAAATTTTTTGAATAAGACGAATGGTCAAACATTGAACAAAAAGTCAACGGCATCATACATTAAAATATGAAGGTAGTAGTAGTTAATTATTCCCACGCCGGGACATTTGATTATTTGTCAGGTGCCACTCTTCAGATGTGCCAATTAATGATTTGCCACTCGCTGTCTATGACATGTGAGCCTTTATGTGTCTATGACATATGGGTCTAGTGGTGAATCCTTTAGAACCACTCGTAAGAGTGGCAAATACGTAGTTAATTATTCCCGCGCCGAAAACGTGGCTACACAACTCCACTCTCAGTGCTACATAGGGGTGAAAACGGTCACCGAAATTCCCGATCGACCGGACGCCGTTTCCGTTTAAGGGGTACCGTTTCCGACCGTACCGTTTTTAGCTATTTTTAAATTTTGTTTTTTTCTAATTTCTTCCTGCAACGTATTAATGTCGATATTGAGTAGTTTAAACGATAAATATGGTCAATTACCAGCCGATCGAGCATCGTTTCTAAAGAGATGCTACTGATTCTGACCGTTTCCGATCGTTTTCACCCCTAGTGCTATCCATCCCCTTTCATCGAAAATTACAGGAAAATACCATCGCACTACCCCTTGGATCTAGCCGAACCGGTTCCCACCCACTCGTCGTCCTCTCGTGGCGAGAAAGGAGAGAAAGGGGAGACGAGCGAGGCGGTGGCGGCGACTGCGGCGGCGCACGGTGGCAGAGCTGCTCTCTCCCTCCTCCTCTCGACGCGAAGTTTTGGGCGGGAGCGCACGGTGACGGCAGCTTTCGGTGTCTACGCACCACGGTGACGGTGGCAGGGTTTGGAGCATGGCAATAGCGGCGGTGTGCAAAGGATTTTTCCAGATCTGTGTGCAAGATATCCCCAAATCCTAGTAAACCAGTTTGATACTTCAGATTTAGCACATGAATAAATACATATGTACTCCTTAGTAGCACTGACATTTGTATGGAATACAATGAAACGAGAAAATTAAATCCCTTGTATACCATTGAAAGTTCATACATTATCAAATTAAACCCCTTGTATACTACTGAAAGTTCATACATTATCACTTAAACCTTGTGTTGAAATTTTTATGGAAAAGTATATATTATTAATTCTACATAACATAAACAATAGAAAAAAATATAAGGGTAGTATTGTCTCTCTACCCCCTATGATTTCCGAAGCTGCTCAAGTTAGCCAAACACTTTCAGAGATACCTACAGCTCCTAGAGGAGCTAGCTCCCACTAGAGTTGGAGTTTGGAGTTAGGATCTATGAGTTGGAGCTCTACTAAACAATTTTTTATATATAATGGAATAAAACATCCCGGCCTTTCCTCATCAGAGCTACAGCCAATTATTACAGAGTATCACTCAAATAATGATAGTTCAAATAAATTAAACACATCCAACAAAATAAAAGATCAAACTAAGATAAGGAGAGCACATTTATTCAAGTCTATTTGTGAATCTCCATCATAGTTTGCAAAGAGTTGCATGACTGTCGTCTCAAGCCTACGACATGCAACATTCATAAGCTCTTCATCATCTTCACACATTTGCAGCTGTGCCCAAAATCGAAGCCAATATGTTGCCCTAAAAATTACCTGCATATATGAGATAGATGGCGATTTATCAAAAACCATATCATTCCTACTCAACCACAGAGCCCAACATATGGCAGAAGCTCCTACAAGTATAAGTTTACTCTTCTTCTTGTCTACCCCAAGAGCCAACCATCAAACATATTAGATATGGTAGTAGGAAGGTATAAACCAAAAGAGAACTGTACTGCTCTCCAAACAAATTTTGCATAATGACACTCTATAAAAAGATGTTGAATAGTCGCATTTTTCATATAGAAACAACATCTTAAACTGTCATTCCAATTTCGTCTTGCCAAATTATCCTTGGTTAGCACAACCCCTTTAAGCAAGTACCACATAAAGATCTTAATCTTAAGTGGCATCTTAAGCTTCCAAATAATATTATTTCTCTCAATATAACCATTATTAATTAAAGCTAGATACATTGATCTAACAGAAAATATTATATTCTGATGAAAATTCCATCTAAAGCTATCAGAGAATTGATATATGTACAATAGAAGCACACAATTCATACCAATATGCAAGATTCTTACCAACTAATGATCTCCTGAAGGAAACATTAAGTGGAACGGATCTTATAACATTAAGTGGAAACATTGATCTACTAAACATGGCCCATCACCATCATCGTCGCAGCGAGAACCAAAACGAACCAACTCCAAATCCCACCACGCTCTACCTGAAGCGGCAGGGCTGCCACTAAAACCAACAAAAACCCCCCGCCGCCGCTGTGGTGGTGCTCGCCGCTCATTCTCGCGCCGCCGCCGTTTAATCCTCGCTTCCCCACCAACCACTGCGACCGCCGCTTTCCCCTCCCAGCCCCAAATGCTCCCGGCCACCTCCACTGTCCCATGCGCCTCACTCCTCCCCCACTCTCGGCGCTGCCCCGCGCCACCGCCTCCGTGAAAGGCTTCTCCCCGGGACCATGGCGGTGGTGGCGGTGATTCGGGCGTGCAGGGTGACGACGGGCCACCGTCAGAGGGTGGGCTCGGTTCGGGCAAGCCCCAGGGTGGGCGAATGTCACGCCCAGAAATTCACAAACCAGAATTTCTAAGCTGAATGTGCATTAAATCCCTGTCCAGGACCAGCCAGGGTACACAAACCAATTGTTGACATACAGATCCACGTCTTACAAAAATATAAAAGATTACAAATGCAGCGGAAAAGATAAAACGAGCTAGCCTTGGGAGCTTGACTTCAGCAGCGGGCGACTCCACTCCACAGGCAAACCTTGACGGCAGCGACGAAACCAACCTCTCTGAGACGGCTCCAACTGAGAAGAACTTCAACTCTGGTGTGGGGGAAAAGAGAGCAAGACTGAGTACTACCCACTGTACTCAGCAAGTCATACCGGAAGAGGAGGTATGATGCAGGATATAACCAAAGGAAGCTAGGGGTTCTTTTGCATAAAGCTAGCATTTAAAAGCAGTAGTTGAAAGCAGTAAAACAACTGTAGTAATTAATCAATATTAACCAATCACTGTCCAACGCTACACCACGTTGCAACAGGCCCAACCAACCACCTGAACTACACCAGTTCATTAAGCTAAACTAGGGGTGAGACTAATCACGGTGAATCTGGTTGATCGCCCATAACCACGGGCACGGCTATTCGAATAGTTTTACTCTGGCCAGAGGTGTACAACTGTACCCACAAGACACGATTCCACACATGTCGCCATGCCCCGAAGTATCACCATGATACTGCAAAGGGGGAAATCGTGACAAGACCCTCCACATAACCCTCCCCTAACCATCCACACCACGCTAAGGTTTCACCCCCCACCCCTCAAAAGGCAGTGGGCGGTCCCCTCTTGCGCCGCGGTGAATCCGGCAGCTGGACAACCGGACACCCCGGCCGACCCAACTCCATCACGCCCACCCTCGCCACCGGTGCCTAGGAAAGGGTCGAGCTATACTTCAGATCAAGCAGTTACCCACTCCCGCTTGTGGTAAGCACGGTAAGTCTCCCAGGGTTTCCCATGAACCGGTCCTTAACTGCCAGGGGTGCGACCAGCAAAACCATGCACCCACAACCCACCATTCAGTGTATTTTAATTAACTAACACCATCGCGGTGGCACCAATCCAAAGCTATGCTCATAGTCAAAGTCTATGTAATAATGTAGTCCCCATTTGTGTACTAGTTGAACTAGGCATGGCTAAGCATTTCCTAAACCAACATCTAATCATTTTGATACCCTAGTTATCAATGGCATAAGGTAAACAATATATGGCTGGGTAATAGGACCCATCCCACATGACATTGTAAAAGAATGCAACCTTTAATAGAAATGGGTATTTGTAAATTGGGTACAATATGATCAATTGTATTGCATGACTTGCCTTGCTCTCGAACTGATGAGACCTCAGCAACGTCTTCGAAAAACCACCGATCGACGAAACGGCCGAAACCTACGGACA